TGAAATATCACAGCCATTCCTTGGTTTGTGGTTTTATGGTAAGAATGGAAATATCACCTCAAGACGACATATCATTCACTTATTCCATTCCCTCCAGAGAGGATACACTGAGATGAAGGGCCCAGAAGTGGGGATCTAAGTGCACCCCACTATATCCAAGAGAAAAGGACCCGAGCAGATAGGATAGGAGAGAAGTGGAAACACAAAGCGCATTGGAGGCCTCACAACTGGCTCTGGGATAGTAGTCATTTTCGAAACTAACTAGCTTTCAATGGTTTTGTTGGTTTTGGATGACCAGGACAGAGTCTGGGGCCTGTGGATGGTGGGAAGAGTCAGACACGTTGAGTGGCTTCATCACTAGGTGCCTTCGTGACTGTTCTAGGCCTCATCCACTTCCTCATCTGCACTCTATGTGGGGGTACCAAAAACAGACAGGAACATTTTTTCCCCAAAGCTATGTATTTTATATATATATATATATATATATATATTTCACACAGCAACCTTATCACCTGCAAAGTACTCTCCATTACACTTAATACATTTGCCAAACCTGTGACGCCATTCTTGGGAACATTTTTCAAACTCATCCGTTTGTATGGTGACAGCTCCTCCCTTGTTTATTTCCTCACTGCTTCTAAGTCGTCAAATCGCTGTCCTTTCTTGTCCCTCTGCATTCATAGAAACTAAAAGACGTCCCATGGAGTGAGGTCAGGTGAGTAAGGTGTGTGGGGAAAGAGAGGCATGCTGTTTTTTTTTGCCCAAAACTGGTGCACTGAGATGGCTGCATGAGCAGGTGCATTGTTGTGGTGACAAACCAGTCCCCCTTCTGCCACAAATCAGACCTTTTTAGTAGCACACTGCGACACAATCTTTTCAGAACCTCTGTATAGAACGCGTGATTCACAGTCTCACCTGGTGGAACGAACTCCAAATGCGCTACGAGTCAACATTTTCATCAGTTCAGGAAGTTGACAGAAGTCCAGAAGGAGGTCTGTCATCAAATGACATTTCCCCTGTTTTGAAACGAAAAACCACTTGCACCCTTGAGTTTTACCCATAGCGCTGTCCTTGTCAACTGTGTGGAACATCACAACAGCTTCTGTGGCATTTTGCCTGAGCAGGAAATGAAATTTCACAGCCACATGCTGATCTCTTAAATCGGCCATCACACAAAACGAGGTTTGAGCGAAACGCCTTTTATGAAAAATTCACTGTGACCAAAGAGATCTTTCTCAGGCGACGGCCACTGGGTGCGCTAACTCAGAGTGACTTGCTTTATGCTCACCTAATGGGGAAAATGCCTACTACGATGGAGCTTTTTCTTGGTTTTGTTTGTTTGGTTGTGGTACCCCCTTATAGCTACATGGCTTACTTCTCACTCATGTAAAA